AAACAATTTATTTTATGTTGCATCATATACATATGAATAATCCCATTCAACTGCTGAAGTATATAAAATTGACTTCTGATTTTATTTATCTAAAATATTTCCTAAGATAAGCATGCAATGCATTGTCATCATACTTTAGTCTCCTAAAAGACAAGAAGGAAAAGGTAATTAAGCTACTGTTTGACTATAAATTTTATTAAAAAAAAATTTAAAAAAAGTATAAAGTTGTATTAAAAATAGTTTTTGAAAAATTAAAATTATATTTAAACATGTATTTTATTTTTTAAAAAAGAAGTTGATGTTTCATGAGTAGAAGAAAATTTTCACCCCAAAAGTTATTCAAACCAATTTTTGAAACTTGAATTATTATTTTTCAAAAAACTTATCAAATTTCATGTACAAATGACATTTTCATTTTTTAAAACTAAAAAAAAATAATCAAAATCTATAATAAACGGAAGTTAAATAAATTTTCTTTTTCTATCTATGTACACTACTAAAAAAAGTGTAAAAAATCACAGGAATAAATTGCATAGATGTTTTGATAATTTTTTTTCTAATAAAAAATTAATAAACTTTAAAATAGAATCAACATAATATCCATCGATTATTTTTCTTGCAAATCTATAAGAAAGGTTATTATTGTTGTAATTATTAAAAGAGAATTTGTGATCTCAATTAAAAGTTTATTTGAAAAAAAAAAGTATACCTACGTAACAAAAAGATAATACTGTGCTATGAAAGGTGGTACCATGAGCTTCAAGAGTAGAACATTTATATATGTATTAGAAGATGTATGAGTCAGTTCAGTATTACTATAAAAAATATTTAGAAAACTTATTTGTTTGAATAAATGAAGAAGCATAATTTAAGTTTGAACGACCTTTTTATTTTTTATAGTTGAAGAATTTTTTTAAAAAAGATTAAAAAAAAATTGCCTCGAGAATACAATATAAAGAAAATTGTATAAACTCTCAAATTTATTTATGTTTTGATAATTGTGGTGGCCGGGCCAGGACACACCTCGATTAGATTCACGAGATACATGTATCTCCCACCAACAAAAAGTATAAGGTAACTTTGTTCAACTAAGGTTAAAGCATATGAGAAAAAGTCACCGAGTTTTTCTATGTGATGGAAATTGAACCTGAGAGCTCATGGTGCTCAACTCAAGTCTTAAATATTTTTATGAAAAAACAAGTTTCCCAAACGCAAACAAGCCTTCGCTTTCACGAAGGTTTGCCCACTTAACCTTTCGCGAAAGCTAACCAGCCTTCGCAAACGCAACCCTCGCGAAAAGGAAGATCCCTTCGTGGTTGCGAGATCAGTAAATACTAGAAAAACAACCTTCAAATCATCGAATGGACCCTCGAGATTAGTTCAAAAAATCCAATAAAAATAAATTGGACATGCTACCCACTAAGTTCGACAATCCGGACTTAATGAAATCGTCGAATTTCCAAAAAGATTCAGTTGACGAAATTACCCTCCCAGACAATTCTTAAGCCTAAACACTCAACTTCTTACCCAAACATCCAAATACCAACCTAAGGCCTCAAAAGTCTTACCAATCACCTCACTAGTTCAAACTCGATGTTCCAGACATGATGGAACTAACAGAACCCCCATTCGACGCTCGGACAAAATGTTGATCAAAGTCAACCCTATCATGAATTCTCAACTCAAGAAAGGTCAAATCACCAAAAATACACTCAATCGCATGATGAACCACACCAACCATTTTCAAAACACAAATTAAACCAAGCATAGAAACACTAAGGAGAAGGACAAAATGATCAATTCACAATTAAAGCAAATTCACAAGAAATGGGACATTACAGTAGGACTCATGTATTATTTAGAGAGAGTTATTTGTTATGAGATAAGTAAATGCCATGCATATCAATACAACATTTAAAATGTGAGTTATTTAATATTTACTAATTGAAAAAGACAAACATATTACTTCATGATGTTTGTGATCATAATTGAATATATTATTTGTTGATTTATATATGGTTTCTAACTATTTGTATTTTGAACAATTTATAAATTGTATACATATTAAAACAACAACTTATAATTTTTATGTGTAAATGTAGATAATAATTTATTTGATTTACTATTGTTTACCGTCTTTTCGGTTTTACAGTAGATGGTCTATCTATTTTAAATTGAAATTTAACATTTTTTTTAAGTGATTAGTTTATCAAGATGACAATTATGTACCCTCACACAATTCAAGTGAGAAAATAGCAAACATGACAACAAAATTGTTCTTCTACTAGCTAGTTAAAAGGTCATATATAGAAAAATAATATTGTCCGGCAATTATCTACCTTGATCCGATTACATAAAATAGAGAATTGGTATAACCGTAAAAAATTTATTTGTAGAGTTTTAATTCAAACACAAGATGGGGTGGGAAACAATGAAGCAAACACTTGGAAAAATAAATATACCCTACATTACTAATCTCAACACTACTAATCTTTTGCATTATTTATTTTTCTACCAAACGACCCCTAAGGGTTTTATACGTGCGTATGTGTGTGAAAATAGGTAATATTTCTATTGGCACAATCTCATACAACATTTTTTGTAAAACATAAGATATTATATAATTCAATCGAATGAAACTAATAAAATAATTAGGTTATAATTAAAATGGGGAACGGAAATAATTTAAACTACCAAAATTAATATTATAGACCACAAGGTATGAAATTGAGTCGTTAACATATTAATGTATATGGAGGTGAAAATATTGTTTTAAGGTATTTAAACATTAAGTGGAGAAAAGATTAATTATTAATAATAATCTACTTACCTAAGATTATGTTTTGGTAGGTTCTAAGAAAATTGGTAGGTTCTTATTAATTTTGAATTCATTAAAATTATTATAAATCAGTATATATGGAATGTTATTTAAAAGATTTTCCAATATTGTCCTGTAAAAACACCTCAAACTAACTATAAAAATCCTTCTTTTGTTCCTTATTTTTCACCTCTCAATCGCATTCTCTATTTTCTTTTATTATCTACGCATGTGATAATCTTTTATCTCTTGATTAGATATTCAATAACATATCAGTAAAATCTAAGGATTCGAGAGATAAGAGGTAAGACCTTATTTCTATCGTTATAAAAGATTGTTTTTTATAGATCTTCGTAACAATAAAGTCTTAAATGCTTTCATAATAATGTTTTATTGTTTTCTTTCTTTTGATGATACAATATGTATAAATAATATGCCAACATTGTATCCCCTTTATTTTCGAGTTATATATGGAGAATATTAATACATAGAAAATTGTGGGTTAATTTGTATTTGTCTCTCTTAATTTTATTTATTTATTATGTCTATTTATATAATTTATTGCTAGAAGTTGATATTGAAGAATATAATAGTATAATCAAATGAATTTGTGGGATTAGCAGTTGGATGATGATAAAGTGTTGGATTGAAAAATAATTAAGTCATGGGTTTCTTGAAAAATGTGAAAGAAGTTCAAATCTCTTATCAGGGCTAAACATTAAATTCTTTCAAAATATAGTAAATACTTCACGAAAAGAAAGTGAATACTTATATGTAATCTGGCAATACATTATGTAGGCGAAATGTGGTAGGGAGTTGGGCTTAGGGGTGGGGGTGGGTGGATGATAAAGGGTGGGAGTGAGAATATAGGGTGGGTTGGGAGGAGAATGATTTTGAAATGCCGTTTATAAAACTTGTGTTTTCTTTTTTCGTTACGGAATTTATTTTCCTCATATTTAAGGAGTTTGTTTTCCTAGAAAAAATATTTTCCACAATATGTAATCAATCAAACATGAGAAAATTGAAAAATATTTATCAAACAATATTTTTCAATTTTCCTATGTTTGTTTGGTTAATATGTTTGGGAAACATTTTATCTCTAGGAAAACAAGTTCCTTAAAATGAGAAAAATAACGTCCTAACAGAATTAGCTAAGGGAAGTTAGGTTTGATGAATGGTACTCCAAGTTTATTGTCTCATTCCGTCCTCCCAATACCTTCAACCCCCACTCGTGAATTTCCACTTCTATTACCGCCCGCGTCATAGCATTTTTCAGATAACTTTCTACTTATCAGACATTAGAACACAAGTGTGAAACATTTTTACTTTCGAAAAAAAGAATTTCTAAGAAATCATTTTTCATGGAAAACATTCTCCTTCTACGGTTCCTCCAAACACTAAAAAAGTTTCCCTTCGAATAAAAAAAATCTTTAGTTAATTTATCACTACGCCCTCCCATACATAATGTGATATTTTAGATTTTGAATTTAGAAAACCATTTAATAACGTACATTAATTAAGAGGGTTATTTAACTAAATTACTTAATTTACTCATAGGAAAATTCAAAGAATTGTGTAACGAAAAATTAAAAAAAGTTGTTCAGATCATTTATTAGACAAAAGTATATGAAACAAAATTAAGTTAATTCCTTTTTGTTTTTTTTTTTTAATTATTTTCTTTTTTTAATTACCATAAAAGCCACCTTAAAGTGGTTGGAGTTCAATTTTTCTAAAATAAAAATAATATATATATATATATATATATATAGCTAGAACATTTGCTACTGAATTTCCGTCCTTAAAAATACTTACTTTAATTAAATTTGAATTTTTTTGAAAATTACTTGCTATAGAAATTAGCTTTATCTTATTTTTATTAAATTATGGCTAATTTTCACTTACCATCAACGAAAAAGGTATCCAAGCTTGCGTTTAGTCATAGATTTTATAGAACTTTTAAGAAAAGGATTTTCAAAGTTGCGTGGAAAAGTATAAACTCTTTATTTATTTATTTATCGATAACCATAGTGTCCGAGCCAACTTAGACACACCTCAATTAATTCCACAAAATACTTATCACCTCCCACCAGTGACAAGTATCAAGTAACTCTGTCCAGTAAGGTTAAGAGCAGATTGGACGAAGAGAAGTTACCGAGTGTTTTAGTGTGCTGAGAATTGAATCTGAGACCTCATGGTGCTCAACTCGCGTCTTCACTATTTTTATATAAAAACAAGTTTCTCAAAACTGTTGGAACTAATAAGTGTACATACAAACAACAACATGAAGAGGCTACAAAATACATCAAACTTTATAGTAAAACATTCTTAGAAGTCCAAAAATCACTAGTAAATTCCTGGGATAACTCTGTAAGGAACCTTTTCACAATACAATTTCCAGTACTTGCCATACCTGCAAAGCCACAAAATTTGGTTAAATTTCACCCTTGGAAGAGTTTAATGTACCAAAAATTACTGATAAAATGTATATATAATATCTTCGTAACGATCTTTAGGGACAGATCAAGACGACCTTCGGCTACTCAACTAGTTTTTTCTAAAAAACAGTGGTGTCTAGGCCAGCTTTCGTCCATTTCAGCTACACTCTACCTGCTACGTGTTAACTCCTACCAACACATATACTGACTACTCTGCCTGTTAAGGTCTAGGCAAATGGGGTAAAAATCACCTAAGTTTTTGTCTTCGATTGGGATTTGAACCCCTAATCCCATGATTGTCAATCATTTCATTGACGTCTAGGTCACACCCTCAGGTGCCACCTCTAGGGATCTATTATGCCATGGGGGTGGCGGAATGCCAGGATAATTATTTTGAGGATATCATAAGTTTATTCTGTCCATGAGCAAAGAAATCGATAAGTTCTCAAGTCTTGTTAACAACACAACCAGCAAGACATGTATGACTATTACTAATCAATTTGATCGAGTTTATTAGTGAGGAGTGGAGAACCATATGAAAAATCCAGGTAAAAATGAGGGTGTGTGCTTTCTTACTTTGCCTTGCATCGGTCATCGTCCCTTTTAGCTCGATCGAGAAGGAGGATTATTAGAAAGATGACGTAGAAGTAGGGAATGAACTGCAAGTACAAGAAAAAGTAAAGAAGGGGGACAGGATGTTAGATTTCAGCAATGTCAAGAACAAAATGCAAAATTCAAGAAAGATAAAATTGATTATGGAATTCTCTCTAATACGGAAAGAAGAAAAATACAGAGTAATGATGTAAATGAACGCTTACGTGGTTGAAAAGAGCTGGTACACTCCAGAAAAATGCCGCTAATATTTCTGGAACATAGTGGAAATGGCGAGCTAAGCCCCACCTGCAAAATGGTTTAAACATATTATGTAAATTGTATGATGTCTCAAGCCGCTATAAGCAAAATAATTGACATGTATTATACATCAATATATGAATTTGTTTGGCGTTAGAAAACGGGATATAAGAAAAGTAGAATAAATTCTAGATGCTTTTCTTAGAAATATAGAAGGTATTTATTCAGAATTCCTTGTTAATGCAATCAAGTACAGCCTCTATAAGAATGAGACTGGTAATATAGGAGAATAACAATACAATTTCGTAGTTTTACAATCCAGTACACAATTTAGGAGTAAGCTAAATGACTGAGAACTAACTAGAATAGTTGATTGATTGATGCATTAGAGCATGCTCCAGAACTGTCCAGTTATGAAGAAAGAGCAATATGGATGCCACAAGCATTGCTTCCTTTACGGTCTACTCATGCTACAAGACTGATGATTAATGCTCAACGGAACAGGTGCTGGCCGTGGAAGAAGATATGGAGAAAAAAACTCCATACAAAGTTGCATGTTTCACATGGTGACTGACTTGATGACTATGGAAGCAAGTCAAACTCAAGAGAACTTAACAGAAGAGGGGCATTATACTTTTGTACAAAATGTTTTTTGTGTGGAGAAAGGTCAGAAACTATTACTATCTATTTTTGCACTGTCAAATGACTAATCAGCTATGGCATTTATTCCTAAACATAGTGGGACTTCAATGGATGATGCCTAGCAATCACAATGATCTACTAAGTAGCTGGAATAAATCAGGCACGAATAAAGCCAAACAAAATGGTGAAATGCCATCCTTGCTTGCGTTTGGTGGACAATTGGGAGAGGAAGGAAAAGATGTTTTGAAGGCAAACCAAGTTCCATCCAAAAAGATCAAAATGATCTGTAGTTTGTTATTTTGTTTTTTGGTGCAAAGAATAATGAAAGATGATGAACAGTTTTAGATCTTATAGAATCCCTACAAGACTAGGATTAGAATACATTCTTAACTGCTGGATTTGACTACTGATGGATATACTTCTGCAGCACTTTCTTAGTGCTGAATTTGATACAATTATTACCTCCCCCCAAAAAAACTGTTGTAGTGTCTAAATTGCAGAAGTAAAACGTCAGCAGGAGAACAAAGAAAGGAACTGACCATCCTGATGTAAGCAGAAGGCTGGTCTTTTTCTCACCAGAGGTAGTAGTGTATGCGGCGACTATCTGCATTGAGTGAAGGAACCAAGTCAAAAATCATCAAATAAGGGTAAGAGAGTTCGAAAAATAAATTCACAGATGGTATCATTTGACCTTAGATGGAGTCTTTCCCCAGACAGTGCATTTTCCATTTGTTCTCCGGAACTCTTGCCTCTGCCTGTCACAATCATAGTTGATATATATGCAGAGAAGACCAGCCACTAGTATGTAAAGGGAAAGCTGAAATAACAGAAAGAACTTTCCTCGTTAGAAACCGAAAGCAATAAAATTGCATATGCTCTCCAAGTCATTTTACTACATGTGGTTTCCTTAAGCAGGTTGATGCAATGCACCAATGATCAATTTCAGATAACACATTATCACTCAATGTTTTCTAGCCAAAAATTTGCCTTGCAATGACAAAATGGCAAACTGGTGCATCGTCGCAAATCATTGCAATTCTCAGAGAGATCACGTGAAAGACCATTGTCCCCAAGGGAAGACCCCTAGTTGACAAAAAAAATCAGCAACCTTTCTCTGCTTCATCAGACAATTCTAGAATAAGTCTTGTTTTTCTGTTATGCAGAACATTTATAATACATCAAATGAAACATGTGAAAACTAACGAAACAATCCGTATGTACTATGAAGTACATCCACCATCCAAGTTGTAAAATCTAGTGAAGGTCAATAAGTTGGATGAAACATTAGGGAAGTAATTGTACTCATAATTCTCTCCTTTTCAGATACTTATGTCGCTATTAGCAAATGAATGTGTGCGCTCTACAAGCCATGTTAATACATGTAGTTTTTTTATAGTGGATTGAAGTAACGGAAGTTTCAAAATATCACATGCCCTGATGGCAAATAAGAAACTATAACATTGGATAGTCAAATTTCTAACCGTAAAACGTATGTTGCTACCAATAGGGACAGGTAAATTCTACATACACTGATCTAAAATGTCCTAAGGTGTGTTGGGTGGGGGCAAAAGGTCGCAATTCTCAGGGAATTTAAAAGTGAAACACCATCATCCCAAGGGTAGACCCTATTGGTAAAAGTGAACACTCAATACAGAACCTTTCTTGGTCATTTGACAATTCAAGAATGTGTTCTGTTTTTTCTTTACATGATCGTTTAAAATACCAGAAATGGAAGATATCATCGAAAATATAGGATGCAACTCATCTGAAGTACTCTAACGAACCCAGATTGTACTTCCTCTTAAGAAGGTTGACTCAATGTTCTAATATCGAACATTATCATTTTAAATAAAATTATACAAATTACCAACTCTTTGACTAAAAACTTATATACTCCTTTCCTCTAATTTTATATGACATTTGAATGTAGTATTTTAATTTTTCCATACCTATAGTGCTAATCGAATAAAATATCAAAGGAATGATCAAAAGAGTAAATAGTATTGTCAAACCAATCGAAAAAATAGTATAGTCGAGAAAAACCACAGTTATTTTTAAGAGGTTAAGCAATAGTCATTGAGAAATACTGTTAGACTGGTGGAAAATATCTGACAACTTCATAGTGAAAAGAGTGTCATATCAATTAGAACAGAGGAAGCAATAAAGCCAATGTTGAAGAGAGTAATGGACACCCTGAAAAGTGAAAATGTCAAAGAAAATGAAACAAAGGAGAAAAATTACACATCCATGCAACAAAAGAAATGCTAGCTTGGCGAAAAATGAACACGTTAGCCATTGATGAATGGCTGAATGGTCTCATTTGCTCATATTATCTGTTATGCTACAGATGATTCTGCCAGCAATGGGACTTCCGTCATACTTTAAAGGGATAAATGTCGATTGGAAGATATTCTAAGTACATTATTTCACATCTCCAGGGGTTTTCTCAAGCTTGAAACTAATAATCCACAACTTCTGACTCTATCAGGGAGTTTGGAAGATATCTATCTTCTGTTATCTATCATGGTTTGTACTCTCTACCATATGCTCAACAGTCACCCTCATTTTCACTCTTCATTATTGCCTTAAGTTCATTCGATTTAAAAGTGTTTTTGAATTACAATTATATGTCTACAAAAGTTACAAAGCCAGACTGTGAGGAGATTTCAGTTCAGCAGAAATATGATGCCTTTTTTGAACCTTTCACCTTCAGCAACATTATTTGAGTGAAACTTTCACAGTGAGCTACTACTTTCTTGGTATTACTGCAAAGAACATTTTCCATAATTTGTCCTAAGCAACCTTTCGTGCTAGGCAATGGAATGATGGTAGTAGAGTAGTCGATCTGATCTCACAAGCTGGATAAATAGCACTGATTATAACCACATTGTGGGCCGTGACTCGTGATTGAGTATTTCAGTGCATGAACTAGAGGTGAATATGGTTCACTAAGAACATTTCTTCAAATAAGTTGATAAAGATGAAGACCAAGCACATGATATGCAGGCTGCAGATATGTATTTGCCATATATTAGAAACTTGCCACAGACAATAGCCTGGTAATTAAGTGGAGAAGGGAAGAGGAATGAGCTTATTATCCATTGAGCTTCGAACTGTACCCCACCAGCCCTCGGGGATTTCTTGGTTATCAAATAGAAGACGAAGACTAAGTAAAAACTAAGTACAAATCCCAAAATAGTAGTTGAGTATAAAAATAAACAGTAAGTAATGCTTATTGGCAATAACTTTATATTTTATATGCATTTAGCAAATTCTTCTTGGATGCAAAAATACCTGAAGCCCAAGATTCACAGGTTGTTTAACAAGATACATTCCAGGAGACGTATATATGCTTGGAACCCACACCAAGCATCCCCAACATATATAAAAGCCAGCTGCCAAACGAATTTGAGATCCAGAGAAGATTATATATAGGCGTCCACCGAAATAGAGAAACAAGAAATGTCAGCATTTGCAATCAGAGCACTGGGAAGGTACTTGCTATATCAATATAGAAAACACAGTATGCACAAACCTCTGTCATGTGCAATATCCATTGTGTTCCAGTACCCAGCTTCCCACCAAAAGAATTTTGTGACATACACCAACATCAATATCGTATTTACAAGCATGGAATCAGATACACGCCCATATTCTTCATGCTGAAAAGTAAGAATATGTTATACAAACTATCGACTGTCAAACATCAAAATGAAGTTCATATACTAGGTTTTTCTATTGACAATCAACTGAAATCCAGGTAAAGAATGTTAGGGGTCAAGGTGAAAGAACGAGCACAAAGTAAAGACACCTAAGCTGTGATAGGGTCATGTCAAGTAAACATAATTACTCCCTCCTTCTCAATTTGTTTGGCCTGCTTTCCTTTTTAGTCCATTTCAAAAAGAATGATTCTTTCTTTTTTTAGCAACTCTTAATTTCAACTTTCCACATGGCATGTTTAAGACCCCGAGGCATTTTTGGTACATTTGACATACCTTTAGTTTAAGACCACAAAATTCAAGTCTTCTTTACTTTCTTAAACTCCATGCCAAGTCAAAATTGGTCAAATAAATTGGAACGGAGGGAGTACTTTAGATAACAGTCCACTGTTTTTTTCCATTAAATGGTATAAGAAAATGTCTTTTTCTTATCCTGTTAAACATCTATTGACGGAAGCAAATGAATATTATATCATTTTCTTACTTGCATGACCTAAAAACTGAACAACTGGCAAGGGATCCCCAATAAAAGGGCTTGTAAAATTCACCAACTCAGGAACAATAGGACCGAGAAATATTGGGAAAGTTTTAATTCTCACTATCAAGGACTTCATTACATCATTTACCTGTTTTATGCAATACGTGACAGCAAGAACTGCCCAAGACATCATACCAAATCTGCAGTTTGTGAAGACTTTAATATCGAAGTGTTTCCCGATACGAGGATAAAGCTCCATACCCTGAAAGAGTTCATCAGATCATAAATTATGACATCACTTTCAACTCCAGAGATGATGCAAGTACTAGATATTGACTTCCTTGACTTAATTTGTGGTATAACATCATCATGCTTATTTTTCCTATAAAGACACAAAATGAAGTAGTGAAGTTCACAGTTAAATTTTCAAAAGATGCTTACCCAATAGAAGTCAACTATTATGTTCCCTGATGAGCCGGAATCAGTGGAAGATGGTGCAACATGACCCTTATAAATTATAAATGTCAGCACAAGGTGTCAGACAGGTATAATACTAAGCAAAGAATCAGAGATAAGAGGTGTACTGAGGGTACTTAAAATACTTACTTTAATGTACAATAAAACACAGAAGACTAAACTCCCAAAAATAAGTGTAGAGAAAATCTCGCCCAGATGGTCATAAACAATTGCAGGATTAAATATTCCAAACCTGAAAGACACGGAAAAAAAAACATAACTAGAGAGAGTGAACTGATGAGTTTAATGGACCATAATATGCACCTTTCTCACAAACAATAGCTCATAGATAAAATGAACAATCAAACAAGTAAAGGTTCTGGACGTCAGGAGTTGTTAGAGTGTCTCATATACGTTGAGACAATGTGATGTTATCTCCTTATATTATCTTGGATATTCCTTAAATATGCTAACTTTCGGTTTATTTAGGCCTAAGGTTTATTTTATTTTTTTTGGATACGGTATTAGAGCAAGCAAAGGTTTTGGATTCAAGTCTTACAACCACCCATCATAAAACAAATTCATGTGTTTGGCCCATGGAAAAAACTAGACCTGCTAGGAAGCGAGTTGAAGACATATTAAGTAAATACAAGTATGCCATCTCTACAAACTTTTGAAAGAGACAGTCACACAATATCAATAAATACACTATACAAAACAACAACAACAATAGCAATAACACAAGGGTCTGGGGAGGATAGAGTGTACGTTGACCTTAAAAGTGCACCAATTCATTATTTTTGTTGTATTCTTTAGTGTCCATTAATATTTGGACGAATTGATTGGTGTTTGTTTAGGTGAAAAAACTTTTTATCAGTTTAATACAAATTGTTGAAGCCCTAAACACAAAAGAGCATATTTTTTTTAGATTCCCTTGATGAAATTCATGTCCCCAAGACCCCAATGCTGTCCCAAGCATTGTCAAGCTGAAGCTGGCAAGTGAGATTAACGAACCAATACATAAAGAATCGAGGTCTCAAGATTCAGCAAGCTAGTCAAAAAGCAAAAATTGATGAAATCCCTACCACCAGAGACTGATATATGTGATCAGTGTCACTGCATATGCTGCCATGCCATTAGCCTGCAATAAGTAGAGGATATAAGAGGCAAGTTATACAGTTGTACAATGAACAGAGGAAAGACAGATCATAGCACATCAACCATTGCATCACTTGAAATAAACTCAACTAAGACAAATTACACAAACTATAAATGCAAGATGCACACTGTACTTGTGTATAGCATAACTGCCATATACCTTATAGACAGGCCTATGTCCAGTTGGAGATATTGGGCCTTCGACTGTTTTACCAGGCAATAGAAGCTGTAGTGCCGCCTCAAATAGAGCATAACAAATGATTAGCTTCCCAGCAATTGCAGTAGGTTTTGGCCAAATATCAATTAATCCTTGCAAACCATTTTCCCTTAGATGATTGAACGTTTTCAAGATAGACCCATCAGCGTGCACATTTGTATACCACCTGCAAGTAGGCCCATTAAGGTCCAAAAATTAGTGCAGTTATACAATTACATTTCCTCATCAAGACACTTTTGAGCTACTGTACATAACACAGTGGAAAGATCTGTGGCTAAGGCAGCAGAAATCATCTGTTACTGGTGAAACATTCAAAAAATTTACAGCAGGATCAATTTGTAATTTTTTATTTACATAGCATTTTTACTCCTTTCACATGACTAAATGCAAATCATTTTCTGTATAGGCCAATTAACGAATGTCTACGGAAAGAACCACAGAACCACATTTCAAGATCATACTAACTAAAATTATGACTCAGCAAATGTGTACCATAACCCCATAAAAGATGGGGCTGCAGTAGGTAGACTACTAGTAAAAAATAGTCTATTGATTGTGAATCCTTTGAAAACTTAAAAGGTGGAGCATAACAGATGCATGTGCTTTATTTAACCGAATCAAACTCATTCGGGATTGAAACGTAGTCCATCATCAATTGATATTAGCTAAAATTAGAATCTACACTTATTGGAGCAACCTGTTATTCCTATTTCTACTTTTCATCCCCTTCAAAAGAAAAACTTCATCCACTCTAGTGTCTCTCTTTTAGACCTCCCAAATCAAAAAGGGGGCACAGGTATTAAATCATGCACAAGTATTACCATGTTTAGTTAGCAAACAAATACAAGCATAACTCTAACCAAACACTTGCTTCTTTAGAGCTAAATAATAATGAATCTCAATTACACCCAAAAAACAAACATTTTTATAACTAGAAAACACTTGCTTCTTTAGAGCTAAATAATAATGAATCTCAATTACACCAAAAAAAAACATTTTTATAACTAGAAGACAGTTAAACTATAGCAAGCAAATCAAACCAAAACTAAACAAAAAAAAAAAAGATCCAATCTTTAACTCATGATACAACAACCCATTCAAAGATCTGAACTTTTACACAAGAAAACAAAAACCCCAAAACAAGAAAAGACAATAAAATCAACAAAAATAGATCAATATGAAAAGTGGGTGTTGGACTTACATGAGGATTACAAAAGGTGGTGTGAAAGATAGAAGACTGAGCATTGATCCATAAGTGATTAATGGAGAGTGTACCAACTTGTTCTCCACCATTTTTTCTTCTTCTTCTTCTTCCTCAATCAATTCAGCTTTTGCTGATTTTGGGGTTTTGAAGAAAAAAACTGGAACTACAGAAGTCTCCGCCCAATATGGAATCTTGACTTATATGTAGACTTTAATTCACTGATTTTTAGTGCTCTGTGTTTACTCCACTCTCTCCACAGTGGTATAGGTCCTCTTCTCAGATTCTCTCAATTATAAAAATCTGTTGTACTGACTAAAATGTTTGGTGTTCACGATTTGAATAAAAATTGATTTAAATTAAAAAATTAATTTTATTTGAATTTGGGCTGACTTCGAGTTTGTATAATTAGTCACGTTTATATATATATAATTTATCAGAATATACAAATATATATTTATAATATACAATTATTTAACATATATACATATTCAATTCACCTCTCTCTCTCGTCTCTCCCAATCTCGTTCGACTCTCTCCTTCCTATCCCGATCTCGTTTGCCTTATATATAAATGTATATGTATAATATACAATTATATACATATACAATTCACCTCTCTGCCTCTCTCACTCGCTTCTCTCCTCCCTCTCCCAATTTCACTCGCCTCTCTCCTCCCTCTCCCAATCTCGTTTTCCATATACACAAATACATGTGTATAATATACAATTATCTAACCAATATACATATACAATTCACCTTTCTCCCAATCTTTTCCCCCTCTCTCTCGCATTTCTCCTCTCTCCCAGTCTCGCTCGCCTCTAACCTCCATATAACATGTAGTTACGAATTGTAATTATTAAACTATATCTATAGAGAGTAATCAAGCATTTTTAAGTGGCTATATGTGAAAATTTTCCTTTTAAAAAACCATAGTATTTGAATTGGTTATGATTTTGTTCGAAAAAACCAAAGAAATAGCTGAATCAAATCGATAAATTATATACATATATTTTATTTATGTATATAATATATTGTTTTAACAATATTTTTTAAATATCTTATATACGTTTTCATCAAAATTTATTTATATTTACTAGTGATAGCAAAAAAAAATCCAAAGTTAGAACATTTATTTTAGGGAAAAGGTTTGAAATGTATCCGATCTTTAATTGAAATTATTGTAACAATATCGAACTTTGAAACTGACCTTTTACCCTCGTGCACTATTTAATAGTGTATTTTAAAGGTATATATATGATCACGTGGACATCATAAATATTTCATCTTTATAAATAGTAACTTGTCCACTTGGCAAATATATATCTTTAAAATACACTATTAAATAGTGCAGGGGTAAAAGGTTCCCCATTAAGTTTGGTATCGTAACAGCAATTTAGGCAAAATTAAAATATTTTTCAGACCATTTTTCCTTTATTTTATTGACTTCATGTATATGAGTGTATGACAATTCTTTTGCGATATTGAAAATATCATTGTCTCTTCCTTCTAGGCAAAAATAATGTTTTAAAGCTTTATTCCTAGTAAATTCAATAATCGAAAGTTATATGATGTGAGTCACCGTAACCGATAACAATTAAACCGACAAATATATATATATATATATATATATATATATATTAATTTGATCTGCTTGATTTTGATAATTTTAAAACTGATTATATTGATTGAATTTTGATTTAATCGATAATTGATCCAAACCGTCCAACGAACACCCCTATTTATATTCACGTTCAATTATATATGCGAAAATAAACTTTAGACAGCTAATTATATGAATGTAAAGTAAATACCAACATATAATATAAAATAAATAAATTCAATCATCAATGCTCATGTATTATCCATAAACTCATAAATAAGAGTTTAAGTCACTCATAATCATGGTGGGGTAGGTGGTGGTAGGTGGTGTTAAAAATATAAAATTAAAATGATAAAATGGAAGAAAAGGAATTTTGAGATAACTATACATCATTGATTTAATTTACTTCTTTTTTGATAAATAATGACAAATACATAAAACAAGCTCCACTTGAGAATTATATTACCCTACAATTGACTTCAAAAAATAAATTAGGATTTTTAGATTTATATTTGGTTTCTCAACAAGTTTGTCAAATCATCGAAATAAAACATAGTATTATAACATTTATGCTTCATCGATCAACACCCTCACCTTTTCATCCCCACTTTCTATAATATTTGTCAAAATTATATACAAATATTTTTGAAATAATATCTTTTACTTACCTACAAAACATAAAAAGATAAGTAAAAGATTACTTATTTTTCTAAAATATTATTTTCGTACCGAATTTACACCTTATTATATATTGTAAGTGAAGTCGATAAATCATCTTTTAAAGAATCTATTTTATATGCTAGAAATGAAAAAGCAATGCATAGAACAATTTTGATCTTGCATATGGGAGGTGGAAGAACTTCCATGAGGTGTGTGTAAAGTTTGTCTGTTTAATTGATAAAGTTTTGAAGCATAAGATACAAAGTTTAATGAACTAAAATAGTATTATTCTACGGTATAATAATATATTTGATGTAATTTTACAAGTAAAATTAAGATTGTGTGTAAAAAGATATTATCCTTTACTTCGTAAAGATAGAGAAAAAAAATTATGGTATACTATTATTAGATTTTTGTCGATTCACAAAGTTTGATTTTTATGGATTATACACATGCTATACTACTAAGAATGACAATATTTAGTATCTCATTCATTTTGATTGACTGACCATAAATACTAAACAACAACGTAACATATTCAGATTATTTTCAATAGTCACTCGATGACAGAACTAACAACAACTTGCCTAGTGTGATTCTGTGACATGAAGAGGTTATATTGGATGACTAAGCAATTTTTTTGTAAAAAAAAGAAGTAATGCACTACTAAGAGTGATAATACTTGATATCTCATTCATTATGATTGATTGACCATAAATACTAACCAACAGTTTTCGACAGTTACTCGATGACATAACTAACAACAACTTGCCTAGTGTGATCTCGTGGCATGAAGAGGTTGTTCTCGAGAGATACTGGACGACCAAATACTTTTTTTAAAATAAAATAAAAAAGTAATGCACTACTAAGAGTGATAATACTTGGTATCTCATTCATTATGATTCATTGACCACAAATACTAACCAACAATTTTCGACAGTCACTCGATGACAGAACTAACAACAACTTGCCTAGTGTGATCCCGTGGCATGAAGAGGTTGTTCTCGAGAGATACTGGATGACTAAATACTTTTTTTAAATAAAATGTAACGCACTACTAAGAGTGATAATACTTGATATCGATCACATTCATAATGTTTGACTGGCCACAAATACTAACCAACAACGTAACAAACATATCTATATTGTTTTCGATAGTCACTCAATGAAAAACTACCAACAACTTGCCTAGTGTGATCCCGTCGACTAAATACTTTTTTTTTTTTAAAAAAAAAAAGAGATAACGCTAGAAGGAGGGCTTGAACCTCCGACCTTGTGGTTAACAGCCACACGCTCTAACCAACTGAGCTATTCCAGCACATGCCCCAGTAAGCATTTGATTATATAAATACAAAATTACAACTTTTTATATTTGCATATTTATTTATATTTCTATCTCACTTGTAATTTCTTCTTAATGAAATAAATTGTGGATAAGTTGTGCCTCTTTTTTAATTATGAAGGAGTTGCTAATGCCAATTTCAGATTAGAATGTATGAAGTTTTGAGTTGTGACATGGCAGCTAAATAAACCTTAATCATCAATTTTCTAAAATAACAATAAATCTTACAAACATATTTTGCAAATAATTTTATCTTATTTTCAAATTGGTGTTCGAGTTTCACATTATAGTCTCGATTAAATTAAAATTGTGCTTTGCAGGGACATATCATCCGGGAATAGGCCCAACAAAAATTTTCTTCATAACTGGATTTAAATCTAAAACCTCTAATTAAGAAAAGATTAGTCTTTTTTTTTGCTTTGGTTTCCAGGTGTCGCTTTGCGAACCCGACTTGCTGTACCCATCGGGTCCCGTTGTTTCAAGGCGGGTGCACCACGGTTAGTTCCACGGAGCCCTGGAGACGCGACCGATTTGTAATGCCTTCAGTGGCCCTGCTAGGGCTCGAACCGGCAACCTGAAGGACTTTATCCTCAAGTATTTACATCACAAAATAATTATAATTAACTTACTATTTTACGTAAAGCGAAAAAAAAACAATTCAAATTTGGAATCAATCCATATAATATGTATATGGTAATGTCAAATCTTAACTAAGAAAAGAAAATAGTCTGTTATCTAAAGTTATCTAGTGCACTAAACACGAATTAAATAAAAAATATTAAATAAATATAAGTTAAATGGGACTGAGAGCTCTAAATCATGGAAAGTCATAAAAAGTATACATTAATTACATAATATAGTGTATCGATACATGAGTCATATACTAACTATACCTTATGATACACTTATATGAAGTATATATTGACTATACATGAATTATACATTGACTATTCAATTTCGATCAATTCAAAATCACCTCTAAATAATCTTAAATTTTAGATATAAAATTCTGTCAATATTTCGAGTCTTTCGATCTGTAATACGCTCGAAATGGTTTGCGGTACACAAATCTTTAAAAAAAAAAAGAAGAAGATTAGAAGCCATTAGTGGTGAAATGGGAAGGAAAGAAGAAGAAATTTTGGCTTAACTTTAATAATTTTATAAACTTGACTAAAATTTTGGTAATTGAAATATAATCGAATGGTCATTTCTTATAATTTGCCCTAAAGATTTTTTTTCTTTTATAAATAAAAAAAATGGGCTAGTTCAAGTAATGATAAAAGAGTTGGGCTAAATTTTATAAATCAGATAGCCCAAGGGTAATGGGCTGCAATTTTCTCATATCATGATTGATCAATTTTTTTATTTTTTTTTTACATAAATTTCATTGTGTTAATTAAAGGCTAATTACATTATATTTTTATTTCTTTTCAAATTATAAAGGTCCCTTATCAGACAGAGAATATGACATTCAAATACATAGGATGATTATAATTAAGAGTAAATGAAGGCTTAAAAAAAGATTTTAAGGTTCATGCAAGGTAGTAAAATATAATTAGAGTTTGGAGTCAAAAGGGTAATTTTTTTTAAAAAAACAAAATAATATATCAAAATTATTTTTAATCAAAATGGCAAAATTGCTCCGTCAGAAGCGATTTCCTTCTAACAAAATTAAGATCGGTACAACATTAAAAAAAATTGAAATCGTTGCTCCAACAACGTTTTTATTGAATTGTTTATATTTATAAAAAAACTGGAATCGCTGCTCTAGCAGCGATTTCCTGATTACATTGGTATGCTTCCAATATGAAAATTCTTTTTGATGTTCAAGTAAAAATTGATTTACTTTCTAATGTAACTAACCACACCAAATATTTTTTTTTAACAAATCAATATTTTTAAAAGAAAGAATTGATAAAATCGCTGCTATAGCAGCGATTTCAATATTTGATTTTTTTAATTTTATTTTTGATAAAAACGTTGCTGGAGCAGCGATTTTAGTTTAGAAAAATAAATTCGATAAAATCACTGTTGGAGCTGCGATTTTAATTGAATTTTTTTTGAAATCGCTCCTGACAGAGCGATTTTGCCCTTTTGGTTAAAAATAATTTTGATATGTGTATATTAAATATGTGTCTTATATTTTTCTATGTCAAAAGAAAATAATTATGTAATTTAATTATTAAAAAAAAGACTTGATAAAATATTTTCATAAATTGAGTTAATTCAGAATATTCCTATTAATCGAGTGATCGTCTAAAATATCAATTCAAGAAAATAAACATGCAAATAAATGTATAAAACTAGTAATTAAAGAAAAGTATATGAATGTACTAATAAATTGTAACATTTCCAATTTAAAAAAATTGGCTTGATTTCCTTTTCAAGTACATATCTAATCAAAATCTTTTTACAAAATAAATTAAAACACATAAAATTAATATCACTATCATAGCTTCATTTAATTTATATGTTTGGTTTGTTTCTATCCAGCTTGATAAAGTTCTAACATCATGTGGGGACTAGAATTAAATAATTTTGTTTGGATGACAAGAGCAATTATTGGACCAACATTAATATGCATAAGCAATTTAATTTTTTCTCTCTCTTTCTATATATAATAAAATAAAATAAAAGAATTACTTGTGCTTCAATTAAGATCAAATGACTTAAAGAAAAGAGGTAAATTAACTTCAATTGCAAATTCGTGATAAACATTATCTCTGTCCCTAATTACTTGTTCACGCTTATTTTTACAAATTAAGAAAGGATAAAATTCTTTTACCTATTGTACCCTTGATTAATTACTTTGAAAAAGGTACAAACTTCTTAAAAATCTTAAGTTTTTAATTCATTTATTTAATAATTAATAGGAATAAAATGAAAAACACACTATATCAATTATTATTTTCTTAATAGGTGTGTCCATTTAAACGTGAATAAGTAACTAGGTTTGTCCCTATTTGTCATTTTGAGACGATCACAAATTTTATCAATAACGCTCTATCTAATTTGAGATCGTATGAATAATACTTTGTTCTAGATTTCACACTGCATCAATATTTTTTCACTATTTATATATATTTACTTATACTTCAATTAAGATGAAATAAATTAAGAAACAAGCTTAATCAAGTGGAGGTACATACTCTTGATTTTTTTTAAAAAAATGGGAAGAAGAAGCAAGAGTGAAGCTAATTAATTAATCTAATTAAAATTAATGATTGTCACGTGGTACACTTGTGATTCGTTATAAATGCATGTGTTTTTTCAAAAGATTACAATAGTTTGAATTATAAATTAGGACCACCATGTTTCCTCAAGACCATATCAAGGTATCTCATATGATATAACATGCCTTTTATATAGAAAATTAGGAAAATATTGACCATTATAAAGTATGGAAGGAGCAAATATTGATTATTCTAAAGCAGAGGCAGAGCTAGGATATCGTAAAACGATGGAGGATTAGGTCAATATTGAATCATTATAGAATAGAGATGAAATTAGGATATCATAAAGGAATTCATATGAAACATCTTCATTAAAAAATTACATTATATGTGTGTGTCTACTTTTTGACTTTTTGATTAAATTCGTTTAGCGAAAATTATGATTCTGTCATTGCTGTCAAAGAATCTCCAATTTCAGCACATGTTTTTTTTCTTTATATTTCTAGAGATATGAAAAACAGTAGTAAATTAAAAGACTTATCCACATCTGAGGTTTATGAGAAGAAAATGAACATTTGATAAAGCTATTCAATTTCAAAAACTTAACTGATAAGGTGAAAGTCATACAATATCAAACAACAATATGTAAGGGCTTACTTTTGAAATCAGACTTAAAATACGAAAAACAAAAGGAAAAAAATAAATCGATCAACTAGCATCAAGCGAAAAGACGAAATTTTGAACTTTATCGTAGCTTCACTAGTTATGATGAGTATGCATGTTGTGTGTGCCAATGAGTATTTTTAACAATTATATTCTAAACTGTCTTTAATAAAAATCTTTTATATTATATGTATAATTTTTAAAATATATTTATTATTAGATGAAAGAAATCATGATAACAAATGATTGGTTTATTGGTTGAAGGGTTGGTTTTAAATTTTGAGGTGGAGTGTTCGATTCCCAGACCTCTTTTTAATATAATTAATTAAAAAGTATTATTGTTTGTTATTTATTGAATTTTTTTCATTTTTTTAATAAAGTGTACGTTTTAAATTTGTCGAGATACAAAATATAGCATATACATTTTTTTTATAGGTTTCTTTTAATAAATCTTTTTCAATTGATGATTCATAAAATCAATACATTTAATTTTTCTTGTGACACAGCACTCGAGATATATCAAATTTCTAATAACTTTTTCCTTTAATATTATTTTTTTTGGCAAATCATTTTAATAATTTTCTTATTAAAAAACTATAATCTAGTATTGCTAAAAAAAAGAGGCCCTCAAATTTGGGAGCTTAAAATGATTGTCTTTTTTTTTAAATAGGGGCAAAATCGTCACTAACAATGATGCACACTCGTCTTTTTGAAATTCTAAATTTGCTTTGGTATACCAAACATAAATTTGTGTCCATCTATTTATTACTTTTTTTATTCCCCTTTTTATTCGTGCACTACTCATCATATTAATTTCAATTAAAAGTATATCTTTATGAAAAATTATTTTTCATTAAAAATTATGCTCTTGAAGCACGTTATTTCGCAGATAATCAAAATACATGTTTATGAGTTATTCATAATATAACATCGCTTGTTTCTATGTAACTATGTATTACGTGTTGTATTTATTTTATTGTATTTAAAATAAGTACTATTATCTCATGTGTTTGGTTAAAAAAAAATATGTTTCGAACAATACATATATAAGATGTATCATGTGTATCTATTTATCTCTATCTAAAATAATTTTTAAGTTATTCCTCATAGATATATAACTTAGGGCCGTTTGGATGGGCTTAATAAAAGCAGCTTTAAAAAAGTACTTTTGAAAGTGCTGAAACTTATTTTTAAAATAAGCAGTTATGTGTTTGGATAAAAGTGTTGAAGATG